AAAAAAAAAAAAAATTGTTGCTAAACCAGGGAAATAATCCTGAAGTTCTTAGGCTGCAGTATCTGATTCCAATTGAGGAACTAGGACGCATTTAAAAACTTGTAGAAGGATTGTAGTGGTGTTTATTGAGTTGAAGCTGTAGACAGTATTTTTTGGCAGTTAATGTACTAAAGAAAATGAGATGCCCCTCCCCCCATAATTTTGTATTCCCTGTCGCTATGGATATGCTGATGGCAGAGAATGGAACACTTCTTGGGAGGTGGGGGTGCTTTCTTGCTCTCAATGATACCTGTCATTTGCAAATAAAGGTTTGTTGATGATTTTGGATATGTCAGTGTTGTCATTTCAAGATAACCACATGTGGAATACCTCACAATTTAGTACTTTGGTTTTAGATAATAATCTCCTTTTGCATCTGAAGTTGATTGCTCTTCTGTTATATGGTTGAATTGACAAACTGGGAATCACCGACCACCCATACATGCACTAGGTGTATATAGAAACACTAACGATAAGTAGATTTACAATGTACAGTGTATGAGGCTTTATTGTGGGAATGGTTTTGTCTGTTGCGAACTTGCATAAACTAGACAATCCTTGTGTTGTGCTTTGTTATTTTTTCTAGACCTTTAATTCTACCAAATGTAATGATTCATATCAATTTATTGTTCACTCCTACATAAATGTGCCCAGTGTTTGTTCACATACCTTGCAATGTATGGTGGGCTATGAAATTGCTGTATGCTTATTGTCCTGAAAGCATGATCACATCTATATGTAAATTAGATGTATTTACATCATTGTTTGATTTGCATGGCTTCCCAGAAGCCGACCATCCATGGCCTTTCCCACGAACCTGTGTGCAATCGTATTAGGAAAAGCTGTATTTGACAAAACTAAATAATGCAATCACTAAGTTTATTCAGACTAGGTACAGAGGCAAAGTATTATTTCCCAACAATACAATTGTTTTTTGTTATGATCTTATCCAATATGACTGAATTGCTTTTTCGACTTTCAACTTTACAATTATGTTCAAACTTAGTGCACAGGCAATTGTGTAGTAGCACATCAATGAAAACTGGTCTGTGTCGTATTGCAATAAAAAATCACCAATTTTCATTTTATTTTGCACAATTCTGCTTATATCTCAAATTCACCCTGTCAAATTAGGTTCAAACATGGTACACAGACATTCTGGCACATCAATGGAAGTTGATATGTGTTGTGTTGTGATCCATTCCAATATGGCAAACTGGCATCAACATCGACTCGCGTGTTCAGTTGTCTTTCAGTGCTTATAAGGTTGCACAGAATTGGTACATGTGCTTTTACAAAAAGGTATATATAAATGCTGACATTTCATTTTGTGATATATTAAAGTACAAGTCAGGGCTGTGACATTATCAATGGTATGTTAGAATTACAATAATAATTTATTATCAGCATTTTGTCAGAGAGGTTAATCGGAATCGCATCAAATTTTCTCTACTAAGGTCACATAATGTATATGGTATTTTTAAACTATACACTTAGACCTGCTCAATCATCTTTGTTTTTTGTATTTGTATTTTACTTACACAGTGCGTGTATGAACCACCAACACAAGTTTCCCACTACTAGAAAAAAAAATCACATCCCCAGAGAAAGATGATGAAATCATAATCCTGGTAGAAATGCATTTTCAAGTGACATTTCTCGTGTTTTAAGGAGGTACTTGAAATATGACGGGATGGAACAATTAAGTACACTGTACCATACAATGTATGGCTATTCGCAAGGGTGTTTAATTTTATGTTGTGGCCCCAGTTGCATTTTGTTAGTGTGATGGTTTGTATTTCATGATCAGATAACAAAATATGATAGATATTTTTTCATATACATGTATAAACATTTCATAAGTTTATTTTGATGAGAAATAGTTTACATGTAATCACATTGCGTTATTTAGTGTGTGGAATGAAACCAGGGAGCATGTAGTGTTGTGTTAAGTACTAGGATCCTTTCCTACTCCATAGTATTAACAGTATACCTTATAGTACATTATCATTTAATTATTTTACAACTTATCTATTTTCATTCATTGTTACTGTATATGCTCTTATTAGTATGTATGGTTATATTTGAATGATCATGTATACGATAAATGAAATTGTCTGCTTCTATCAGAGAAAACACCGGCACGGTTTTTCTAAACCGAGGAACCAGGGGCGCAGCGCAGCGCCCTGATACAAAATTGCCGGTTGAACTTTCAAGTCATAATAAATATATTTCTGAAGCCGTGCACTTCCGTACAACCTGAAATCTTTCTCAAATATATTTTTCTCTGTGAAAACTTCCCAACAACACTAGCTGACACTAAAATTGGACACCAAATACACCAAAATTACTCCAAAAATATTT